CGCCCCAGGGGTGACCCACATGTGTGGCCTGCTGCTCCCCTCAGCAGTGTATTTTGTCCATCTGCCTGTTCTGCTCCCCACTCTGTTTCTGGTGAATCTTCCTTTACCACACCTGCACCTCTGGCCTGCACCCCATTTCTATATGCATAAATAAATAAAATCTTTTAAAAAAAAGAAAAAAACTTCCAACCGACTACAACAGGAAAATCGTGTCATTGATGGAGTAAAACTCCATGTTCAAGCTCAGAGACCAAAAGTTTGGCAAGAGGATCAAACATCTGATGAAGACAGATTTCTGAGACTCTTAACTGCCTACTAAATAGAGTAAACAAAATGGAGGGAGGCAGGAAAATACCAATAATTAAACAACAGGGAATAGTAACTGTGGGTGGCACTAAAGTTCGCATGTCATCAGTTGGACTTAACAATTGGGAGAGTTTTAATCACCTACCACTTTCCTGAATTCGTGAGGGCCCTTCCAGCCTTTTATGCCTTTGTCACCCCCTTTCAGCTGTGGTGTCCTTCAGGGTTTACCCTCTGCTAATAGGGTGGTTGGGCCTGGGGGTCAGAAGATCTGGCTTAGCTGCCAGGAAGTGGCTTGTTTGGGTGAAAAATAACACAGTTCTCTCTCCTTCCTAGAACCACCTAGAAGGGGTTACCTTCAGGAACTAAGACCCTGGTCACCTTCTGGGACTAAGACAATTCAAGTTCCAAAATATCTATAAAGCAGGGGTTCAGCAATGGCCATCTACTTGGAAGGGAAACCAGTAGAGTTGCCTTAAAAAAGAAATTGTGGGCCCTCCCTGGTGGCGCAGTGGGTTAAAGTACAGCAATAATAAGCTAAAGCCACTTCAGCATGAGTTCGATCCCGCCCCGGAGCTGACCCACATGGCACAGCAGACTTCTCCTGACCTGCCCGCTGCTCCCCTCGGCAGTGTACAGTATTCCTCAGTCAGCCTGTTCTGCTCCCCACTCTGTCTCTGGTGAATCCTCTCATGGCCCCTGCACCTCTAGCCTGTACCCCAGTCCTGTATGCATAAATAAATCTTTAAAAAAAAAAAAGAAATCGTTATTAGAGAAAGATAACATGGAAATTATATTGCTCCTAATGCTAGGATTTGAGATTTTTTTAAGTACTAGATGTTTATCTTTACATCTTTGTTAATAACAATATGCTTAGTATTCACTTTCTGATTCAATTCAACAAGATGCCATTAAATAACTTAGTGAAAAGAAAAAAAAAGTCTTACTTTATGAAAACAGATACTAGGTTTTGTCAGAAGACCTAATGTTGAAGTAACACTTTTGGCAAGATGGAAACCCTGGCTATTCACTCACCGCTCAGACACAATAGCACCATGTGCTCTCTGGAGAAATAAGGACTTCTGGGGAAAGTCAGTGACACACAGCTCGGTGTCAGTTCCGCGAGCTCTGCTACTCCTTATAGGGCAAATGAAGTTTTATACCTCGTAAACATCTTGCATATTCTATTTCAGTTGGGGGTATATTAGAGGTCTTGAAAAAATGTCAATTTCACTATCCTACCTGGAAGCAAAATAATTCCTTCACAAGGGATGGGGAAAATACAACTAGGCCTGGCCATGAAGCACACTACTGTATTTGAGACATCTGGGGCGGTAGAATTCTCAAGGGACTCGACTCTCCCCCTGCACTCCTCTCCCCGTTATTCTCTTATGCCACCCCGTTCCTTTCCTCTTTAATGCAAAGTGTAATTTTATATTCACGTGTCTCTTCTCTGTCTTCCCTTACCCTGGTTATGAAGCCATCGGAAGAGTACCCACAGCTGTGTCATTCACCAGAGTGGCCCCGTTCTTCATGTCAGCACACACTACACCCTCAGAAAGTGTGTTGAAGTGAATTCTGTAATTGTTTGTTATAAGCACAAGTCAACAACAACGCAAGTCAGATGGTATGAAAGAAGAGGGGCCTTTATTTTCATAGAAGAGAATGTTGTTCCCTCCCCCACTTCTGAAACATTTGACTTGATGCTTGAAGACACACACAAGTGTTGACCAGCCAGCTTGGCTGCAGAGCCTGGCAAGAGGGAGACAGGCTGTCCCAGTGAGCACCTGGACACAGGCCCAGCTCAGCTACCCAAGACCTGTGCTTGTTCCTGGGGGCTGAGAGCTGGCGCTGACCACAGTTGTGTAGACAGTGTGGGTCTTTCTAGAGACAGAAACATCCCTATCATTCTTTCCCAAATAGCTCTGGTTGCCCCCCATTGAGGGCACTTTAGTCACAGTTTGGATGGAATTCAGGAAATAGGAGACAAGAAACTTCCAGCAGGAGTTTTTCATTAGGGTGTATTGAGCGTGTTTTCCCTGAGGGGCCCTGGGTTTATTTAAGTTCTTATTAAGGAAAAGCCCTGGCGCTTCAGCCTATGCTGGCCGACTCACCGGTTTCCACTCAGGACTGGGTGGGCCCCCGGGACGTTCAGGCACGGCGCTGTCCTGGATTCCGTCTGTTTCCTGCTCTGCGCCCATCTGTGATAGACATCTCTGTCTTTTACACTGCCAGTTACCCTCACCTTGGTGCCAGCCATAGCAACTGTGTCTTCAGCATTTTGAGGTACTTGAGTACGCAGACTATCTTAGGTGGCAAGCAGGAGGACTTGTCATGATTTCTCTGCTCTAAGAGTGACTTAAAGCAATATTGCAGAATATAAAATCTATATATGTATGCAAGTGCTTAAAACAGTTGCATTTGTGCGGACTCATCAAATACGTATTTGGACCTCCTTGGTGGCATAAGGGTTAAGTCTCAGTGCTATCACCTTGACAGCCTGAGTTCAATCCCCAGGCCAGGGAGCTGACCCACATGGTGCAGCAGACCTCTCCTGTCCCACCTACTGCTCCCCACAGCAGTGTATTTCAGTAGATCTGCCTGTTCTGCTCCCTGCTCTGTCTCTGATGAAACTTCTCAGCCTCCACACACCTCTGGCCTGTACCCCAGTTCTGCACATACATAAAAATCTTTTAAAAAATTATTCTTCTGGGCTCTCCCTGGTGGCGCAACAGGTTAAAGCACCACATTATGAAGCTCTCTGAAGCTACTGCAGCACGAGTTTTCTCCCCAGCAGGGAGAAAACACGCCACAGGGCATGGCAGACCTCTCCTGACGCACCCACTGCTGCCCTCAGCAGTTTATTTTATCAGTCTGTCTGTTCTGCTCCCCCCTGTCTCTGTTGAATCCTCTCACCCACCACAGCTCTGGCCTGTACCCCAGTTCTGTAAGCAAAATAAATAAATCTTTTAAAAAAATTACTCGTCTGTGCTCGTGTAATATTAAATAATTAAACTCATTCTGCTCTGTTTTCTGGTGAACCTCAAAAGACAATCCACATCATTCTTGAACACAAACCACCCCTTTGCCAGGATGTTGGATCAGGGCCCCTTTGACAGGTGTGAGTGACAGCATCTGCTCACAAACAGCTGCTTTACTTTCCCTTTCTTTATGCAACAAATTGGTTTTCATATACTTTCCTAATTGAATTACTTCAGAAAGTTCCCTCTTTGGGACACTGTGTTCTCCTCAGGAGTCTCAGCAGGCACACTCCACCATGGTTTGTCTCCAAATTTTGGCTTCTGTGGTTGTGCTGTGATGGGTCGAGGATACCTCCACATGTGCCCAAGTTGGGACAATAAATGATACATCTACATTGGACCTGAACCCATCAGACAGCCACTATGTTTCAAAAGGGGAGATTTATATACAGCTAGAAAAATACCACTAGACCACAGAAGAAATTAACCGGAGCTTTTCATTCCCCCTTCCGGGGTCTTGTCACATAAGGCAGGTTCATCTACTTGATTTATCTTTTTTACAATAGAAAAAAGGAGTTCATCTCATTTGCCAAATCAGGTCATAATCTCTAAGGTTCCTTTCAGACTTAGAATTGTTCTGATTCTGACCTTATTTAGGATTGCCCTAGAAAGAGCTGAAACCTAGTTGCAAGTTAGGAATTAGTGTTAGGCAGCTTCTGACACTGGTATTGTGTTAGATTAACTTGTGAACGAATGTCTCTTCTCAAAGACTGTTTTTCAATGCATTTTTACTCACAGACCCCAAACTTTGTACAGGTATGATGAGGTCACATAACGTCATCGGGAGACCCGGGGCTCAACTCCAGTTTTGGCCCCAAGGGCCAGCACTCCAAACCTCTACCTGATATAGCCCATGAGGGATAAATGCAGAGGCTGTTCGGATAATGTCTCCGTTTTGAAACGCAATGGTACATTGAAAATATATTTATTAAATATGAAGGTAATGTTGTAAATAACCACCTGAGGAACTTATCACTCTCTGGTGCTAATTATGTACTCTCTGATACCTAACTTCCTGGAAAATCTCATCCACAAAGTCAGGTGGTTCCCTCTGAGTGTGGCCTTGTCTGTCTTATGTATTCTGAGGCTGAGAGGTTCCTACAAACTTAGAACTATGTTCCTCTTGTCCTTACTACTCCACAGCTTCCCTGGGTCAGTCTCGCATGGCATCCTTTCCCAACCTCAAGAAGAGACTTGGACCATATTTCCACTTTACATTTTTGTGGTCTCTTGACCTATTTGCAAAGTCATTGATATTCTTTGGTTCTGAAACACAAGACTAGAGGGAAAAAATAAGGGAAAAAAAGACAAAAGGAGATATTTTTTTCTTTTACCAACTGGAAAGGGTAAATCTAAGCCTGGGCCAAGCCTGCACCTAACTGGCACTCTCCTTTGCAGCTGTGTTCTACCTGAAGAGAGCTTTCTGCAGGGTGAAGGGGCAGACTTCACTGACACAACTCCCTCAGAGAGGTTATGGCTACTAGGGCCAAACTGGAAAACTATTCATAGAAATTTACCACATGAGCACACTAAAACGCACTCTATAAATCAGCCATATAAATAAATATACGTGGTACCAAGACCAAAGTCAAACTATTTTATTGTGCGAGGGACTCTTTTGTGGGCCTCGGAGGCCCGTTCCCAACGGCAGAGCACCAGGGGGGAACCCAGGCCCTCACTCCTCGGCACTCTGCGTGCTGACATAGTCCTGGAGCAGCACCTGTACCTCTGCCCGCCGGCTCATCTTGGTGGCCTTGCCCTGGAATCGGCCTTTCTTCCCTGCTCCTTTGCCTTCCAGGACCTCGGCCACCCTGGGGAGCGGAGACAGCCAGGGAGGGAATCTTTGAGGAAAAGCCCCAAAAGATCACGGCACATGTGCCATCCCTCATCTTTACAGCTGGGAGCAATGGTGATGAGAATTACCTCCGCCCACCTCCACCGCCTGTGATGTGAGTGAGACGCCAGCGTGGTGGAAAGGGTGCAGCACTAGGTCAGGCTGACAGATGCTTCCCTCCCACCCCATACAAGGCAGACCACGGGTGATTACCTGGGTCCCAGGGTCTCCACAGCCTCCGCTGGCCCCGCCAGTAAGAAGAGCCCAGCCCCTTTCTCATCGCCCACAGTTAAGAAAAGGAGGGTCTCCTAGGAAGAAGACGGGGAGATGAGGCCTGATCCCTGAGGATGTGGGATCGGCCCCCTAAACTCTGCACTACCCCCAGATTTTCCTCCTAAACCATGAGTGGTTCTAGTGACTACTCTGGCCACCACGGCAGTGCCTGAGCATGACCATGGCAACTTTGGTTAAACATTAAGAAGCAGAAGTCACTGACCACGGTCAAGCATAAGAGGCCTTTCATGACCTGACTCCTGCTAACCTCTGCAGCCTGGCCACCACCTGTCCCCCATACACACTGTGCCAGCTGCTGCCTGAGGCTCTGGGCTTCCCCATCCCTGACCACTTCACGCCCTTGCCTGTCAGTGACGGCTAAGGAGTCTTCAAGGTCCCTCCCTCGAGGCCTCCAGCCTTTCAGGCAACACGTTCCTCCCATCTAGCTCTTATCTCCCCAGATCAGAAATGTCAACATCCACATTTAGAACAGGCTCCGTAGTGCTCTACACAGAATTAAGGAAAGAGGTATACGTGCTGGCTGACCCAAACTGTTTTTTGGAGTGAATGTTGAGAGAGACCTGGAAATCACTCTATCCCAGGCCACTAGGATTAGAAGGTCTGCTGAAGTGAGTGAAAAAGGGAAATGAAAGCGCTGGCCTTTCAAGTATGTGGCAAACCGCGCGCCCCCCCCCCCCCCGCCTGCCCTGTTATTTTAATTATCAGGCCCTCAGCACTCATAAAGCTGCTGACTGGGAGGAGTCCTCGTTCTGACCAAAGGTTCTTCAAAGCTGGTAAATGACACAGCCCTAGAGAAGTCAACACTGGACTTAGCTTAACACCTAAAACAGCCTGGCTCACAGGTAACCTTAAGGAGACAGTGCAGGACGTGTTTCCAATCCCTACTGTTCATGTGGTCGTGGGGAGGCCCTTCCGCTGACCTACTGGCCATCACTCAGGTCTCTCCCCTGGCTGGCTAGAGAGTCTCACGCTCCTCTCACCTCTGATCCGATCTCATTGGCGATGATATTCATGAACTCAGAATCACCCTCCTTCCTACAAAGAATGACAGACATGAAAAGGGTTGGAGTGGGAGCCGGAAACTGCAGGAAGCCCAGGTCCTCATTGTGAGGCTCATCACCTGCCTGGTCGTGTGTCCCAGAGGTGGCTTAGCAAGGAGAGAGTGCTGGCTGAGGGCTCACTTTCAGCCCCAGCAGTCTGCAAGTGCTCCTGTCTCCCTCAAACAGGATTCACCGATTCACCCAGAGAAGTAAAGATCTGCTAGATGGCGAAGCAGGTGGAGGAAGGTACTAGTGAAAGCTGCAGTGTTTTACGATGAAGATGTTTCCAGAAACAGGGAACCTGGCAGGGACACGTTTCTTAGGTTTGACGCAGCCTCAAAGACACCAGTAAGCAACTGGCCTGCCTCTACGCACTGCGGACAGGGGACAGGTGGCACTCTCAGCCAACACTGCCGCTCGTCTCTCACCTGTGCAAGGTGACCACACCTCCCCAGTCAGGGCTGTTTCTCAGGCTGTGGGCAACGTGTACAGCCAGGTCCCGGAGAAGAGTCAGGTTGTTCTACAACAGATGCCACAACTTAGGAGGAAGGACAGGAGAGAGCACTATCATCCCTCGACTTCGCCCCCCCCCCAGCTCCCCTTCCTCCCCTGACAAAGGGCACATCTGGTTAGGCGGAGGGCCCAGTTGGGGACCCTATCCCAGCCAGAACCGCTGCCCATGTGAAGCAAACCACCTTCTGCAGGAGCTTGGCGGAGTTCTGTAGCTTTTTCACCGCTTCCACATGATCATCTGCTCCACACCTGCAGGAGAAAGGTCCATGGAGAGCTGCCCAGCTTCCCAGCTGCTTTTTGGTGTGGGGTATAAGTCAATGATGCCACTGAGTCGCTCCCAAAATGGGCACTTGGGGACATAACAAAGAGGCAACTGGAGGAAAGGATAGAGAGGAATAAACCATTTTTTGTGAGTCTCATCTACTATTCAAAGTGCTTTATCACTTATGGCTGCAGAGAGCAATGAGCATTTTGTCTACCTAACAGGTGTAAAAGTTAAGCCTTTGAGAACAGCAGGCATCAAGGGGACGTACTTAAGCAGACCAGTCAAAGCTTTTTCAGTTCCATGACTTTTCTCCATCCACCTCAGCACCCGGTTCCCAGCCAGAAATATCAAGTTGGTTTTGTTCTTTTTCCCCTTCTCAGTGCCCAGGATTTTAATGACCTAGAAGAGGCAAGAAGGTGACACACACACCACATAAACTGCAAGGGGTCCTGGATCTGAGGGTGGGAGCCACCTCGACCTCCCCTAGCAATGAAGCAATAAAGGGGTGATATCACTCAGACTGCTTCAGCTGTCCTCCTCTGCCATTCCCAGGCCGTGATGACCCCCACGGCCCACCCTCAGCCACTCAGCAGTCCTTCCTCACCTACCTGCAGGTCACTGAGGTTGCTCACATGGGTCCCACAACACATGTTGGAGTCAATGCTCTTGATGGTGACAACCCGAATGGGCCCAGCATGATCATCGGGCAGACCCCGGCCCCTGACCTAGGACACAGGGAAGGGAGAAGGGCTGTCTGAATTTTGATGAGGGGCCCTTGGGTCATTCCGCAGGAGCCACCTGGCTAGCCCTCACCTGGTCCACCTCAGGGTCATCCAGGCTCAGCTCTCGCACGTTCACAGGCAGTCGATCTCGGATCCTTTCGTTGACACTCTGCTCAATGGCAGCTACTTGCTCTGCTGTCACAGAGGGGCTGTCAAGCTCAATCACACAACGGAGTCGCCCTAACTCCCTGCCAGGGAAGGAGAGTGCTCACCGGATGCTGACGGCAACAATTAGAAAGGTTACAGACAACACTCCTGTAAGTTATTTTAGCCTCACAAAAATTCCACAAAGTAGGAATGGTGATTTCCGCCCTAAAATGATAGTAAGGCACACGATCAAGGTCATAATGCCAGGACTCACCCCCTAGATCTCTGGGGCTCCAAATTCCATGCTGCCTCAGCAAGGGCATATTCCCACCATCCCATCATCAAGGAACAGGGAACACAGCACATTATGAACATTACCCTTCCTTTTATTCTCCTGTTCTCTGGTAATCAGGAGACCATACCAGAGTCGGTCTTATGCCTTCCACTCACCACGATGTTGTCTTCAGCCCGAACAGGTTGTCTGCAATGGCTGTGATGAGATGCTGCCCTGAACAGAGAGAGCAAGAGATGATGGAGCCAGAGAAGACAGCTACATGCTCACCCAGGGAGATCCCACAGACCTCCCCTTGCTGATGACCTGCCAGGTGCTGAGTAACATAATTGAGAGATCTTACTGAAAATCCTCATGAGAGTTCTGCAAAATGCTTTATGATGCCATTTCACACATAAGGAAACTGAAGCCTAACTTGCCAAGGAAATGTAGCTTAGCAGAGATAGGATTTGTACTCAAGTTCAAATATGCTGCATTCATTCATTCATTCATTCATTCATTCATTCATTCAACAAATATCTGTCAAGAGCCTAGCACATGCAAAGTGTGGGGCTTGGCATTAGAGATGCAGCTTTGTCCCTGGTTGATCGCAGGGAGCAGGAGGAAGAGCAGGTAGAACTAACACAAAGGCAAAGGGAACAAGACAGCCAAAGGAGGAAAAAGCAAACATTCAAAAAATCTAGAGGAGCCAGCATGGGCAGGGTGCAGCGAGCAAGAGGAAGGGACATGAGAGGTTATTCCGACACTTTTAATTATTCACTTTGCTCTTGTAACACTGATCATATCCTGCCTGAAGAAGCTGACTCTGAATACATCTGTCTTTGTCCAAAAGGTTAATACCTAGAGAGTCCAATCCATGTCTCATATGGCAACTGTCCCTCTGGTCCCTCCCCCTCACCCAGACCCTCACCCACCCACCTACCGGAGTGCTGCTGCATGTGATCAAATCTCCGCTCCCAGTCCACCCGGACCTGGACCTCGATCCCAGGGTTCAGGGGTGTCTGTGTGAAATGGTCTGCCTGGGCCCCCCGCCGGGTCACTCTCAGGACAGAGATATCATTGATTGTACCACGGTCATCAGGCTTGAGAAAGAAGTAAAGGGAATCAGTGTTGGCAGGCTGGGCTCACCCCAACTCTTGGTCCCCCTCAAAGATCCTCTAGGGAAAATGTGGGAGAAACATGCAGAACCTGAGATTCCCTAAAGGAGAAGAAGCAATGCCAAGTAAAGTGGAGTCACTTTGTTCCTTGAAAGGACCATCTCACTGAGTTAGTCTTATCTTTCAGTAGTTTCTAAAGTCATCTTCATTTTCCTCCCTCCCTGCATCCTCTGAATCAGATTAATACTCGTTCACATTTAAAAAACTATCAAGAATCAACTGCTTACATAACACTGTCCAGCCCAAGAATATATGTAAACCAGACATGACCCCTCATGAAACTTACATGGACAAGCAAGCAGATAACTGCAGTATGACCTACAGCATGCCACAACAGGAAAAGCACATTATTCCAGAGGAGTGCAAAGAAAAGAGAGAAAGTCTTGGGGAATCAAGGAAGACTTCTTGAAAGAAGTGACAGGTCATTCCTTTAGGTCACAGGCATTCCTCCTCCATATTTAGGAAATCACTGTAATAATGATGACACTGATATGAAATGTGAAGGTTTCTCATTATCAAACTTACTGAGCATGTTCTCTCATGTGACTTCTCAACCTAAGTACCACAACTCACCACAGCTTCCTGAACAAAATCCACACAACTTAACACATCCTCCAAAGCCTTCCCAAGATGCCTCCACTTAGCTTTCCAAGGCGATTTTCAGTCTGTCACCACCATGCACCACACACTTGAACTCTGATTATAGTTCACTAGGCTTGTCAGATTCTTTCAAGCTTTCTTGCCTGTTTGTGCCATTACCTCTGCTGGAAAAGCCTCTCCCATAGGCCCAACTTTGGTGTTTTTCTCTCTTCCATGCACACACTGGTCGTAGTCCCTACCATGTCACGGCATTGACAACGGTCCTCTGTTGTGCTATTGTCATTCACCTTGAGAACTCCTTCTCAAGGGCATCTTTATATATCCCCATTACGCCCCCTAGGCTAATTCTCACCACAGGGCCTTTGCACATGCGATTCTCACCTCCTGGAACACTCCATCTCATCCACCCGCACCACCAGACATCTGCAATGGCTTATTCCTTCAGGTAACTAAATCTCTACCGAGGTAACTTGCGTCCTACCTAGGAAAGCATCCCATTGCGACACTTCCCTCAAACTTCACTTTTCCCTACACTACTTACCATACCTGGCCTACTATTGATCCATTCACGGGCTCATCTATCTTCTCCAATTAACACTCTGTGTAGACACACTCTTGCTCTTGCTCACCCCCTATTCTTGGGGCCTGGAAACAGGATCCAGTCCTCATTGATGAACATTTGCTAAATGAGCAACTGTAGTAAACGTAACTAACTCCCACTCTGTATTCTTTACAGTTGGGGTCGGAGGAGCAAGAAAGCATTTTCCATCAGGGCAGAAAGAAAGGAGGCGCTTCCAGAGGAGGGCAGTGAGTGACCGGCCTCTACCTGTCCGCCGCCCTCCGGGAAAAGCAACGTGTCTTCCAGCACCACATGGAAACCGCGCAGCACCTCCTTCTTGCCATTGCTTCCTTCG